CCAGGCTGAGACAAGAGTGAAGCTCTCGCGTGATTGCAGGATTGATCCTAGGACACCATCTGCTAAGGCAGCTTATCCGCTAAGGACCAAGGCAGATTTGGTACTAAGGAATCATGATCACGATCTAGAGTCTAACTTGCTAACTTCCGAAGCCTGCCCCTGTGCAGCGGGTCGCAAGACCACGCCGGCTATCATGACGACCGCACAGACGGGTGTGGATCGACCAGCAGCCCCCCTCACGGTGTATCACCAGGGGGACACGGCAAGATTGGAGTGGCTCCACAGTCTGCTATGGTGCGCCATTTTCATGGACTCCGAAGACGATTTTCGGCGATGAACTTTCGCAGACGACGAGCGAAGATTTCACGACCGCTCTTTCAGCCGTGTATGCCGACAAGCCCCCACAGGTCGCGGCGCAAGTGACTTTCGCCGGAAGTGCAAATGCTGACCAGTTCCCGACCATCAACAAGCTCGCAGAGGTCAGCGATGAGGGTCTTTCGAGGATCCAGCCCGGCGACAGCCGTGGCCGTGAGAAGGGCTTGGTAATCGTGAGTGACAGTACCACGGTTTTCATGGCAGGCAAACGCACGTTCTGCGACCGTGCACCTGACATCAAGGAGATGAGGACTGGCAACGGGATCCTGAGTCACTATGCTCATGTGGAGTATTGTCCGATTTGGGGTGCATCTCTTATTCCACCCATCGTTGATAAGGTGCATGAGCTCGTGGGCAAAATCATCCAAGAGTCCAGCAGGCCGCAGTCTTTGGCGGTGGACGTGATGATCATCTGGATGGGAAACGAGTTAGTCGGCCGCAGAGGTGTGTTCGTGGATCCTAATGTTCCCAAGTGGCGCCAGACCGCTGAGAACATGGAGGCGACTGGAGTCTGGGAGGAAGTCGCAAGCAACGTTTGCGGACAGATCCAGCGTCTAGCTGCCTTGAAAGGCAGGCCGTGTGTCAATATCGTCCAGCTGCTTGGAGACGCATACCATGCCGATTACAAACTCCCACCAGAGTATCGGGAGGCAGTGCAAATGTTCTTCGCGTACGCGCGAGGACGAGGGCTGGCAACAGGGAGTCTCGATGTGGCTGTCTCGAATATTCCAAAATATGACGGATACCATTTCCGCGAGGACACAACGCACAGAGCAGCATTTGCCAACGTTCTGGCCCATCGGGCACGTTGTGTGCAAGCCGAGGCGTCCCTGTCGAGCCTTTCCGGGTTCCGACCGCTATCCGCTATCCCTTACCGCACACCTGACAACCAGACCATCGCGGGTCTCAGAAGGTTGAGGGCTGAAGGTGAGGCCATCCAGGCCAAGGCCAAAGCAGCACGCGAAGCTGCAGCCCCACATAGTGGAGGCCGAATGTTGCCACCTGCTGAGGACCTCATCGGGTATACCTGGGACGAGGATGCGATCCTCAATGATGTGCTGGGGGTTGATGATGCCATGTTCGGGAGCCACGATGCAGAGGGAATGGTCATCCTCACGAAGGCCGATATTTCCACAGCTCATCTGGACAAGCCCCCCAAAATGGCTTGAACGACCCGCCAAGCGTCTCGTCCGCATCGTCCGCGGTGCCATCGGCAGTCTTCCGAGCAGGAATGGGAAATGGGTTTCGGTGCAAGAAGCCCTGAACCTCCTGGGTAAATTGAAAGGCTGCTGGCTGGGCTCGCCGCAACTCACGGTCACTCGAACAAGATCGCCGAGGAGATCGACGACAACGATCTCGCAGTGGCTTGGTTCTGGGATCAACCCCGTGAGGAGCTGGGTGGTGCAGCGGCCTTCAAAGGCACGCCGATCCTAGCAAAGGGCGAGTTTCCACCGCGTTTGTACCATCGTACAACGCATGATGCTGCGTTAGCAATCCTCGAGACGCAGCTCACCCCTGGTTTCGGTCGCAGCGGCAAATACCACAATTATTTTGCCAAAGCTACCTTGGACGAACTGGGTGAGCGCGGAGGAGTCAGGGCCAATCTGAAGTTTGAAATGGTCTTCGATACCAGCGAGGTATTGGAGCACGCATATCTCTTCGAGACGGCCAGCGAAGGCATCTTGTGCCGCGAAGAAGCGCCCGGCACCTGTGTTCTCTATATTAGAGACGCAGGCAAGAACGTCACCGTCTGGACCAGGCCGGATCCCCAGGCTGAAGAGGAGGAGGAGATCACCATTGATGCTCCTTTGACGGCTGCTCCCACAACTGAGCCCGAGCCCGAGTTTGTCATTCCTGATGACTCCGAGGACGAGCTCGTCAATGTTGAGGTCGAGGTAGAGGCCGCTCCTCCAGCCCCACTTAGTGGTGGCCAGGATCTTGCTATGGCCGAAGAGTCCAGCGCAGCAGATGCCGAGGTTCCCGCCGACACAGAGGAACCAGTATCAGCTGATGATGGCAGTGCAGATGCTACCATGGAGCCCACAGAAGAGGTCCCGGAGACACCGCCCCCGAGCGCAACATCGGCGGCTCCGGCTATGACCCCGGGTGATTTGGCACTCGTTCGAGGTGAAGTGCTTGCGACCTCTTTGCCGCCACAGCCGGTGACGGAGTTCCTTGCCCTTCCAGCCCCCGCTCCGGGTGGCCGACGACGTGCTTGTCCGGGATGTGGGCATCAACACCATGTTGGCCAAATGATCTGTCTTGGATTCGGTGGATCAATCATCAAAGCATCCTCCCAGCAGCAACGGCGCAGGGTTAAGACGGGACGGTGGATCCAGGAGGAGGCAGCAGCGCGAGCAACTGGAAAGCGGAGATCAGAACTCATGTGGATGATGTGATCTCCAACATGCGCCGAGAGGCTGGCAATCGCGGTCTTCAATCTTTGGATTCCGCAGCCCTCGAGAAAGCAAAACAGATCTTCAGGCTCGCCGAAAAGCACGGGTACACAAGCATCGTCGACAGGTTCGACAACGATGTGGAGTACACCCTCTCCTCCGTGAGGCAGGGCTACGACCGGGAGTTCCTTCGCATTGAGGACGTCCTTGTGAAGTCAGCCCTCCCCAATGTCGGTCGGTCACAGGCTCAGCGATCCCTAGGCACGGGAACTTTCGGTTCCGGATCAGGCTATGATCGCGTGGAGAAGATGGAGTCCATAGCCAGGCTCCTCTACTTCGACGAGCCCTGTGGTCCAGCCGCCCTTAGGGCCAGGCCTCATCGATGTGATCACCGATCCTCCACTCTGCATTATGTGGCTAGGAGTTGCCTACTCCGTGCGCGCCTTCATTGAAGTTTTCCTGGCACACAAGGTCATCGACCGAATTCAGGCCTTCAATGAGGTTATCTGGCTGGACCCCAACCTCGAGTATTCCGCTGACGAGTGGTTGGCATGGCTCCGTGTGAGAATTTCGTACCAGGTCGCAGCCGGGCGTCGCACATACGAAGAGAAGCTCCGTCAGGCCGCACAGAGCAGAGAGGCCCAAGCCGCAGCAGATGCCCGCAACGCTGCTATGAAGGGTGGCAAGGGCATGAAAGGCACTGGGAAAGGCAGGTCGGCACCATCTCACCCGTACCAGCGTTACTGGTGAGTGCTTTGCCATTGCACAATTTCAATTGTCGAGTTCCGATGCGTTAGTTCGGTAGTCCGAAANNNNTGCCCAAAACCAAACAAAAAGGCATACTAAGACTTCCCGATGTCGCCACTTCGTGGTAACTCCGACTTGTTGCATTCGTGGATGGAGTAACTGTCCCGCAACACACGTCATGCACAACAATTGCACTACTGTAGCTAGTATCCTCGC